TTAATTAAATAGTGAGCCTTAAATTGAGAATAACCTAAAATATAAGTCTTCTATTGAGAAATAAGGCCTTAAATTGATATAATTTCAAAAAAGTTGGGTCTCGTAATGAAATTTCCCAAATTAAATCATTTCGAGTTTTATTGTTGTTTGTTGTGTGTTATTTACTTAGACATGTTAGACATGATTGTTGGCATGGATGGGACAAGACAATTGTTATCTAGGAGTTCGAGATTGTATTGCAGAAATGAGATGCACATTATATTTGTTCGGGAGAGTTGATGCAAGGTATGATTTATTTTTTCTTTATTCTTTCGATGTTTGTTAGCCTAGGCTGTAAATTGGACAAACGCCGTATATTACCAATGTACATCATATCTTAATTTATATTATTGTTTAGGTTTCTTTCCCGTATGGTGCTCTGTTCAATGGATCACTGATACATGTTCGACAAAAAAATTTCCACGCCTTACTGTATGTTTTTGTATTTTTTTGTATTATTTATTTATATACGAGGCCACCTCTACCACTGGTTCCTCACTGGAATTTTAATGTGTGGGTTAGTTGACTTGTTTTCAACCTAAAAAAATAGTCTGTAATATTTTAGTATATTCATACCACATATGATTAACTATGACAAAACCTTGTCAATAATAATGGTACTATGCAAATTAGTAAAATATTATATCTAATAATATATATAATTAGTCTATTCTTATTTTTTTGAGTGGATAGAGCGTTCATGCTGATAACATGTTATAAATATGAAGAAAGAGATAATGAACTGAATAAAGGAACTGGATATAAAATATAATAATTTTCTTCTTTCTTCCATATATCAAATTCCATAAAATCTCTATGACATTCATTTCCTATTTATATACATTCATCACTTTAATGTTTTCAATGGTGATAAAATCAATGTTCATAACATAACATATAGGTGTATAATAATGTCCCGATTAAAGGACCCTTGTACGGTCGATGGCGGTGGACTACTTCCGGGCTATCTGGCCATTCCCCCTCCCAACCTACACTATCATATTTTCGCACTTGACCCCCAAAACAATCGCATCTCGACAGATAAGTTTTTGATGTTGAGATCGTGGAAGCCCTGAAGGAGATGGGTCTCTAGAGTCGCCAGGAGTCGACGGGCTGAACGCCCTCTTCTTTCAAAGCCAAGAGGACTTAGTTGGCTCAACGATTTGCCATTTTGTTAGACGCGTTCTGGGCGAGGTGTGATGCAGGTTAAGGTCAGTAAAACTCTTATCGTTCTTATACCTAAAGTTGAGCATCCTGAAAAATATCAAAAATTTCTGTATCATCAGTCTTCTTGATGTGATCTATAAATTGATGACAAAGGTGTTGACCTACCGTTTGAAGTTGGCCCTCCCTCTTCTAATTGACCCTGCCTAGGTTAGTTGGTCCTTAGATGTCACATCAAAGATAATATAACTGTTTCCCAAGAGCTGATTCATTCTATGAGAATTAAAATAGGACCCAAAGGCTATTAGTTGGTGAAGATGGAGAAAAAGCTTACGGCTTCTTGTGTTGGGATTTTGTGGAAGTGACTCTTGTAGCCGTCGGCTTCCCAGCTAGCTACATCGCTAACGAAATGAAGTGTGTCTCTTCGTCCTCGAAGCAAATTTCATGGAACAACACTCCCAAGTAATGAATTTCAGCCCTCTTGGAGAGTGAGACAAGGTGATCTTATTTCAATATACCTCTTCGTTTTATGCATCGAACGACTTCACACATACTATTCAAAGAGTGGTCGAGAAAGGGCATTAAAAACCAATGACTATGGCACGAGGGGCCTTAAAAATACTCTACTTATTATTTGTTGATGATATTCTTCTATTTTTGGAGGTGGACATTACTCAAGTCGGTGTTTATAAGAGGGTGTTGGGAACCTTTTGCAGCAAATCGGTGTTGAAGATTAGCGAGTCGAAGACCATTGTATTCTTCTTAAAAAATGTCCTACCTGATATCCGAGAGAATTTGGCCAGTAGACTGGGATTTTCACTCGTCGATAACCTTTGTAAATATTTGGGAGTTCCGCTTCTTCACGGTAGGGTTGATAAATGGACATGCTCATATTTTAGAGAAGGCAAAATCGACACTAGCGGATGGAAAACATCATATATTTCGTTGGTGGGTCGTTTGGTTCTAGCACAATCGGTAGTTAGCTCGCTTTCACTTTACACCATGTAGTCTGCGCGGGTCCCAAGTTCTATATGTAACAACATTGAAAAGATTTGTAGACGGTTCATTTGGGGAGGAACCGGGGACTGCCGCAAGCTAAGCTTAGTTTGC